AACCAATATGTGTTCTTGCTACATACACATACACACATAAAACCAAGAAATGAGGGATGAAGAACTAACTTGCAATCCAATCTATGTTTTTACTACATACACATACAGCCAAATACCGCCACCTGCTCCATTCGTTTTTACTCCAACCACCAAACACGTCCATTGACCACCTTCCTATTTTCATCTGTTCTGCACCATCACACCCTCAGCTACTCAACCAATGTCGCACCATAAACAACCGAGAACTAGAACCAAACCACCTGCATCTTCAATCCTTGATTCTTGATAACTTCAAAGATGATCATGGGGCCAGAATTTTTGTAACACTCGTGTTTCTAGCCTAGGCATTAATCTTGATATGATAGTCTAGGTTAACCTTTGTAACTCATTTTGAAGAAATGAAAAAGGAATTATGTGAATTCTATGTGTTTTATATGTTTTATGTTTAATTACTAGGAGTTAATTAATTAAGAATAAAAATGAGCGTCGAAAATAAATATTAGATAAAGCCGATATCTATTAAGAAAGTTGTAGTGGTCGTGACAAGGATTACGGATATATAAAGAATGCCGAAATCCGATTTGTAACGAAGAAGTTATGACCTGTCGAAGTTTCACGACAAAACCGGCACGGTGCTGAATGTCGTAAAAAGTGAGTTTTAGATAAACTACTTTTTAGCCTTAGTAATTTAAACGAAACTCGTAGTGTTCGTTAAACCGAGAGTAGGTATAAAAAGAACACCCAAATCTGACTTCGTATGAGGAAGTTATGATTTTTCGAAATTTCAGCTTAGCAATAGACAACTAAAAACTCGAATTTTAGATCGAGTGATTTTCAGCCGACACGACCTAAACGAGAATCGAAGGTCTCGTAAATAGTAGCACAACGGTAAAAAGTCTGACGAAAACGGACGTCGGATGAAGAAGTTATGAATTTTTAACGGATTTCCTGTCCCGGTCTGTTAAAAATAATAATATAAAAATTCAAATCAAAATTAGCCGACAAAGTCTAAACGGAAGTTGTAGAGCGTAATTTACCTACGCTTGCATATAAAGAACGTCAAAAACGGAGCTCGTATGCGAAAGTTATGGATTTTAGAAGTTTTGGCACGAAAATCGAGAAAAATTGCTAAAACCGAGAAATTTCGCAAGGTGGACTTCGGCCACCTCACCCTCGCTTAGAATGTGCCACGTGTCCGAAAACGTGATGAGTCATCCGAGCTTCTGAGCTGATCTGAAGTGGTCCACTGAGAAGGCGACACGTACCCTCTTCCCTCGTGTCCGAACCCTCGCAGCATGCCACGGATCCCCCTACTTCGGACCTATACCTCGGTCCAATCACAAGAGGACAGCAGCCCCTTCGCATGCACAGCCCACGTGCGAGCCTTCCCTGCGAGCCCTCGGATCTGCACACCTGGAGCCTTCTCAGCCATTGGATCAGGAGGCTCGCCCCTATAAATTGGAGGGTGCGAGACCTCCCGGGTATACTTTGGAAAATTGTCACTTTTAGCCCCTAAACCCATATTTCTTTCATTTTATCATCCCCCGAAGCTCCGGTATCAATTATAACCCCCGGAATACGCCACGAAGTGCCCGAGAAGCCCGGAAAATTTATCTTTTTGGTTTCGAAGCCCGACCTTTGCAGAGCCCGGTTTATTAATAAAACTCTCGGTTTTATTAGAAACGAACGTTTTAAGAAACGAATTGCTGCCCGATTATCATCAAATCATGTCAGTGTGTAGTTACTTTCACTTTACACATAGATATGAAGTATTTAGCTTAAAATACGTGCTATGTGTAAATATGTTAATTGTTTATTTGAGGTGACTGTTGAATAGATGTTTTATACAAGTTTTAAACTGTATATGTATTTTATCTACAAATATGTTGGGTAGAACATGGGTAGACAAAATAGTCGGTGGATGTTAAAATGATGAGAGGCCTCGGTGTCGGTGTTGTTGTTGGTGTTGTCGTTGTAGTCGTCTAGCGGAGTATAGATGACGATCACGGACCTTTCTAGACAGTCCAATGGTACACTAGCAAGTTCGCAACTTGTAGGTGTTGATGAACTAAATGTTCATTGGCGTACTCCAATCCCCCTCATGGTTGCCTTTAGGACATGTATGGCTAAGGAGTATCCTTAGCAGTAGTGTCCATCCCGATGATATTCCTTAGGCTAAGTCCCTTGTGTTAGGTGTTTAGGGACGTAAAGTGAGGACAATGGGAATGGGTAATCAGGGTTATTGTTGATTGGTGAACTTAATAAGTTATTATTATTGTGGGTTGAAAACCCTATATGCTCACCAGGCTCCCAAGCCTGACCCACTCAGCTTTTTATGATTACAGGTAGTGGACCCCGAGCATAGTCCGAGGACGATGAGAGATTTTTGATTATAGGCCAGTAGTTGTAAATAACTGTTGAAAGGCTTATAATGTCTTGTTTATGCTTTTGATCTGTATCGGTACATGACATCCCGAGGTTTTGATATGAAATGAAACTATACATTTCTTAAAGAAAGGTTTTGATAAACTTTTTTCATGTTTTGTTTTGGGGACCAAATTCCGCAACATCTTTTGAAAATATTTCTCTGATTTTATTTTAAAAAGCATAACTTAAATCGGTCTTTTCTGGCCGAGAGATTAGGGGATGTCATAGTTGGTATCATAGCATTAGTTTAAGCGAACTAAGAAATTGTAGAATTTCTAAACTTGAACTTAGAATGCTAAGTGATGATTGTGACGTGAGTGTCTACCATATTTTAGACACGAGCACTAGTTTATTTTAGGAAAGGTGCCTAAAATTCCTTTATGTGCTAAATGCTATATGTTGCCATATATGCCATTATTTGTTCGGATCTATGGTCTGTTGCCGACCGGATCTGGAAACCTTATGTGTGTAGGATTCTAAGCGTATGATTACAAGATTAGAACTAACATGTAAACGTTTCGGAGTGATAAGGGAATTGAAATGTCTAACAAGGATAAAGACATAAATTCGCTTTATTCGGTATATAGATTGTAATGGCAAGTACTCGAAGTGGAGCGGGAAATGCAAACAGAAACCAACAACCTCAACCCCAAGTGGTGGAACAGGTGCCTATAGTAGGAGCTGCACCAGAACCCATCACTATGGCTGGAGTACGAACTATGATTCAGACCATGTTGGCTGAACAAAGGGAGGAGTTGAGGCAAATGTTGCTGAACAACAGGGATGAACCTTCAGTTCCTGTTGAACAACGTGAACTAAATGACGATCGATCTGAAGAAGGGAAGAACAGCAGATCGGTTGGTCATAGTGAACCGCTCGTGGTTGGGAGAAATAACCACGAGGACAGAGTGGAGAGAAATGGGTGCAAGTATAAGGACTTTATGACTTGCAATCCATCGACCTTCACAGGAAAAGAAGATCCTGTCGGAGTAATGTACTGGATCTCGGAAATGGAATTTGCTTTCATGGCTTGTGATTGCCAAGGCAAGTTACAAACCACTTTTGATAGATAGAAGGAGAGATCGTAAGCTGTCGACGAACACCAAACAAATTGATAACAAACACTGAAAAGAATAATTGAACGAATTGACTAACCTTTGTAGAAGATGTCGACAAACCAGAAGTTGTCCCCGTCGATTGAAGGAGAGATTGGAAGCTGTCGACAAACCGGAAGCAGTCGACGCGATGATCGGAAAAGAAGCTAAGGTCGAAGAAAGTTGTTGTCGTTTCACTTCATTCGTTGAGTCGAGAGAGTGAATGCGATGTTTCTTTGACTGCACATAAGATTGAATGAGAAATTGGAACGAACCCTAGCAGCAGTTCTTATATTTTGACCATTTTTGCCCTCAAAATGTTTTTAAATTACGTTGACCTGGGTTGACCGATTTGAGCATCTAGCTCCGCCTAGGTCCGATTATATCCGGCTTTGACCGACTTTGACCCGTCCGATTACACAAGCCGATTAGCTCTAAACCTCTTCAGTCGAGGTCCGCCTGGCATCTAGGCGCCGATTAATCGGCCGCCTAGGCCGATTTTTACAACACTGCTCTTGGGCTAGCCACTCCCGCTCTACTAAAGGAACATATCTTAAGCGGACCAAATCAGAGAACTACTCCCATTAAATTACAGCTGGCTGCTCTAGGGTGTATGAACTAGTAACAAACCTCCACCAATCCTTCGCTCCGGGCCGAAGAAGGTTCAAAGCGCACTTGACCTTCTGGTTAACTTGGCAAGAGCGCTGTAACAGCCCGAAAGTTTAGATAAAATTTTTCATTTAATATTTTGAAATTACACCCATATTTGTTTTTCCAAAATTCCATTACATGTACTCATGTCCATAAGATCAGAGTATCCAAAACAAGAAATGAGGAATACTGCAGAGTGCATGTTGCGTCATCAAGTCGGGCCCTTTCCCATAGAACCAGAAGTACCTGAAACATCCAACAATTTGTAAGCAAACTCTTAGTGAGTTGCCAAAATACATAAAACATGCAATCATATAATGCCATGCAACATATAGATATACCTAGGATTTGAAAGGACTCCCTCCATGGTCTTCACTTGGAATGCCATGGGCTCCCCCCGTGGTCTGGTAACCAAGTGCTATGGGCTCCCTCTATGGTCTTTAACTGGAATGTCATGGACTCCCTCCCCTGGTCTGATAATCAGGTGCCATGGGCTCCCCCAATTGTCTTCACATAGATCAGTACATGCCAACGAACAAACCATTGCATATCAAGGTTGTAGAAATTGCTCGACATAGGCTAATCGGTGGACCGGAGTCAAGGGATTAATCGGCTAGGCGAGGATTAATCGGGAACCATTAATTATTACTAAAAATATTTAAAAAAATGATATATATATATATATATATATATATATATATATATATATATATATATATATATATATATAACATTAAACCTAAGAATATAACATTAAATATAACATTATAAATAAAAACAATATATTAAAATTTTAATAAATATGAACTTATAACATAAAACTATGATTTAAAAAAACCCCTTTGCTATAAGAAGTTCATTGACATGAGGCTGGGGACTTGAAGGAGGCCATGCTGCAAGAAACCCTTTAAGCCTTTTACATAACTCACTACTTAAAACATCTGTTGTGGTGCTTGAGAGATCAATAGAGCTGGAAAAATGGAAAAAGATATTCAATTTCAGACATGCAAAACCAATATGTGTTCTTGCTACATACACATACACACATAAAACCAAGAAATAAGGGATGAAGAACTAACTTGCAATCCAATCTATGTTTTTACTACATACACATACAGCCAAATACCGCCACCTGCCCCATTCATTTTTGCTCCAACCACCAAACACGTCCATTGACCACCTTCCTGTTTGCATTTGTTCTGCACCATCACACCCTCAGCTACTAAACCACTATCGCACCATAAACAACCGAGAACTAGAACCAAACCACCTACATCTTCAATCCATGGTTCTTGATAACTTCACAGATGATCAAGGGACCAGAATTTTAGTCAAGAAAATCCAAATACCCTTCATTTAGGCAATTGATCGAACACTTGGTGGGCATATGGTTTCATACACAAAACAATTAAAGATTTTGGTCAAGAAATTACCCGAATCAAATACCCTTCTGCCCTACCTGTTACAACCAAGACAAATCCAACCAATAATTAGAAAAGATGAAGAAACAACAAACGATTTTAGAAAGATGAAGAAAGAACAAACAATTTTAAAAAATCATTGCTTACCTGATGTTGCAGAAAGAACAAACGATTTCAGAAAAATCAGTCGATTTCATAGGGTGTTCCAGTCTTCGTTTTCATTCCAACCAACATCACATGTTAGCCCGAAAGATATATCAGAACAGAACCAAATAATCGTGAGTCAAAATTAGCTCAGCTCATTGAAATCGTCTTGAAAGTCAAAATAAGCTCGTTGATAAAAAAAAAGATGCAGATTGAAAGGCAAAATAAATGATCTAATGTCGATTTATATAAGTTCTTCGATTTTTTTATTTGAATAACATTAGCGATCTAATGTCGAAAGTCAAAATCAGACCAAAATAATTCAACAAATTGATAGATAGAAGGAGAGATCGGAAGTTGTCGACGAACACCAAACAGATTCATAACAAACACTGAAAAAAATAATTGAACGAATTGACTAACCTTTGCAGAAGATGTCGACGAACCAGAAGTTGTCGCCGTCGATTGAAGGAGAGATTGGAAGCTGTCGACGAACCGGAAGCAGTCGACGCGATGATCGGAAGAGAAGCTAAGGTCGACGAAAGTTGTTGCCGTTTCACTTCATTCGTTGAGTCGAGAGAGTGAATGTGATGTTTCTTTGACTGCACATAAGATTGAATGAGAAATTGGAACGAACCCTAGCAGCGGTTCTTATATTTTGACCATTTTTCCCTCAAAATGTTTTTAAATTACGTTGACCTGAGTTGACCGATTTGAGTGTCTAGCTCCGCCTAGGTTCGATTATCTCCGGCTTTGACCGACTTTGACCCGTCCGATTACACAAGCCGATTAGCTCTAAACCTTTACAGTCGAGGTCCACCTGGCGTCTAGGCGCCCATTAATCGGCCGCCTAGGCCGATTTTTACAACACTGCTCTTGGGCTAGCCTCTCCCGCTCTACTAAAGGAACATATCTTGAGCGGAACAAATCAGAGAACTACTCCCATTATATTACAGCTCGCTGCTCTAGGGTGTATGAACTAGTAACAAACCCCCACCAATCCTTTGCTCCGGACCAAAGAAGGTTCAAAGCGCACTTGACCTTCTGGTCAACTTGGCAAGAGCGTTGTAACAGCCCGAAAGTTTACATAAAATTTTTCATTTAATATTTAGAAATTACAACCATATTTGTTTTTCCAAAATTCCATTACATGTACTCATGTCCATAAGATCAGAGTATCCAAAACAAGAAATGAGGAATACTGGAGAGTGCATATTGCGTCATCAAGTCGGGCCCCTTCCCATAGAACCAGAAGTACCTAAAACATCCAACAAATTGTAAGCAAACGCTTAGTGAGTTCCCAAAATACATAAAACATGCAATCATATAATGTCATGCAACATATAGATGTACCTAGGATTTCCATGGACTCCCTCCATGGTCTTCACTTGGAATGCCATGGGCTCCCCCCGTGGTCTGGTAACCAAGTGCCATGGGCTCCCTCTATGGTCTTTAACTGGAATGTCATGGACTCCCTCCCCTGGTCTGATAACCAGGTGCCATGGGCTCCCCCAATGGTCTTCACGTAGATCAGTACATGCCAACGAACAAACCATTGCATATCAAGGTTGTAGAAATTGCTCGACATAGGCTAATCGGTGGACCGGAGTCAAGGGATTAATCGGAGGATTAATCGGGAACCATTAATTATTATTAAAAATATTTAAAAAAAAATGATATATATATATATAACATTAAATATAACATTATAAATAAAAACAATATATTAAAATTTTAATAAATATGAAGTTATAACATAAAACTATGATTAAAAAACCCCTTTGCTATAAGAAGTTCATTGACATGAGGCTGGGGACTTGAAGGACGCCATGCTGCAAGAAACCCTTTAAGCCTTTTACATAACTCGCTACTTAAAACATCTGTTGTGGTGCTTGAGAGATCAATAGAGCTGGAAAAATGGAAAAAGATATTCAATTTCAGACATGCAAAACAAATATGTGTGCTTGTTACATACACATACACACATAAAACCAAGAAATGAGGGATGAAGAACTAACTTGCAATCCAATCTCTGTTTTTACTACATACACATACAGCCAAATACGGACACCTGCTCCATTCGTTTTTGCTCCAACCACTAAACACGTCCATTGACCTCCTTCCTGTTTGCATCTGTTCTGCACCATCACACCCTTAGCTACTCAACCACTATCGCACCATAAACAACCGAGAATTAGAACCAAACCACCTACATCTTCAATCCATGGTTCTTGATAACTTCACAGATGATCAAGGGACCAGAATTTTAGTCAAGAAAATCCAAATACCCTTCACTTAGGCAATTGATCGAACACTTGGTGGGCATATGGTTTCATACATAAAACAATTAAAGATTTTGGTCAAGAAATTACCCGAATCAAATACCCTTCTGCCCTACCTGTTACAACCAAGACAAATCCAACCAACAATTAAAAAAGATGAAGAAACAACAAACGATATTAGAAAGATGAAGAAAGAACAAACAATTTTAAGAAATCATTGCTTACCTGATGTTGCAGAAAGAACAAACGATTTTAGAAAAATCAGTCGATTTCATAGGGTGTTCCAGTCTTCGTTTTCATTCCAACCAATATCATATGTTAGCCCGAAAGATATATCAGAACAGAACCAAATAATCGTGAGTCATAATTAGCTCAGTTCATTGAAATCGTCTTGAAAGTCAAAATAAGGTCGTTGATAAAAAAAGATGCAGATTGAAAGTCAAAATAAATGATCTGATGTCGATTTTTAATAAGTTCTTCGATTTTTTTTATTTGAATACCATTAGCGATCTAATGTCAAAAGTCAAAATCAGACCAAAATAATTGAACAAATTGATAGATAGTAGGAGAGATCGGAAGCTGTCGACGAACACCAAACAGATTGATAACAAACACTGAAAAGAATAATTGAACGAATTGACTAACCTTTGCACAAGATGTCGACGAACCAGAAGTTGTCGCCGTCGATTGAAGGAGAGATTGGAAGCTATCGACGAACCGGAAGCAGTCGACGCGATGATCGGAAGAGAAGCTAAGGGCGACGAAAGTTGTTGCCGTTTCACTTCATTCGTTGAGTCGAGAGAGTGAATGCGATGTTTCTTTGACTGCACATAAGATTGAATGAGAAATTGGAACGAACCCTAGCAGCAGTTCTTATATTTTGACCATTTTTCCCTCAAAATGTTTTTAAATTACGTTGACCTGGGTTGACCGATTTGAGCGTCTAGCTCCGCCTAGGTCCGATTATCTCCGGCTTTGACCGACTTTGACCCATCCGATTACACAAGCCGATTAGCTCTAAACCTCTTCAGTCGAGGTCCGCCTGGCATCTAGGCGCCGATTAATCGGCCGCCTAGGCCGATTTTTACAACACTGCTCTTGGGCTAGCCTCTCCCGCTCTACTAAAGGAACATATCTTAAGCGGAACAAATCAGAGAACTACTCCCATTAAATTACAGCTCGCTGCTCTAGGGTGTATGAACTAGTAACAAACCCCCACCAATCCATCGCTCCGGACCGAAAAAGGTTCAAAGCGCACTTGACCTTCTGGTCCACTTGGCAAGAGCGTTGTAACAGCCCTAAAGTTTAGATAAAAATTTTCATTTAATATTTAGAAATTACAACCATATTTGTTTTACCAAAATTCCATTACATGTACTCATGTCCATAAGATCAGAGTATCCAAAACAAGAAATGATGAATACTGGAGAGTGCATGTTGTGTTATCAAGTCGGACCCTTTCCCATAGAACCAGAAGTACCTGAAACATCCAACAAATTGTAAGCAAACGCTTAGTGAGTTCCCATAATACATAAAACATGCAATCATATAATGCCATGCAACATATAGATATACCTAGGATTTCCATGGACTCCCTCCATGGTCTTCACTTGGAATGCCATGGGCTCCCCCCGTGGTCTGTTAACCAAGTGCCATGGGCTCCCTCTATGGTCTTTAACTGGAATGTCATGGACTCCCTCCCCTGGTCTGATAACCAGGTGCCATGGGCTCCCCCAATGGTCTTCACATAGATCAGTACATGCCAACGAACAAACCATTGCATATCAAGGTTGTAGAAATTGCTCGACATAGGCTAATCGGTGGACCGAAGTCAAGGGATTAATCGGCTAGGCGATGATTAATTGGAGGATTAATCGGGAACCATTAATTATTACTAAAAATATTTAAAAAAATGATATATATATATATATATATAATATATATATATATATATATATGTGTGTGTGTGTGTGTGTGTGTGTATATATATATATATATATATATATATATATATATATAACATTAAACCTAAGAATATAACATTAAATATAACATTATAAATAAAAACAATATATTAAAATTTTAATAAATATGAAGTTATAACATAAAACTATGATTAAAAAAACCCTTTTGCTATAAGAAGTTCATTGACATGAGGCTGGGGACTTGAAGGAGGCCATGCTGCAAGAAACCCTTTAAGCCTTTTACATAACTCACTACTTAAAACATCTGTTGTGGTGCTTGAGAGATCAATAGAGCTGGAAAAATGGAAAAAGATATTCAATTTCAGACATGCAAAACCAATATGTGTTCTTGCTACATACACATAGACACATAAAACCAAGAAATGAGGGATGAAGAACTAACTTGCAATCTAATCTATGCTTATACTACATACACATACAGCCAAATACCGCCACCTGCTCCATTCGTTTTTGCTCCAACCACCAAACACGTCCATTGACCACCTTCCTGTTTGCATCTGTTCTTCACCATCACACCCTCAGCTACTCAACCACTATCGCACCATAAACAACCGAGAACTAGAACCAAACCACCTACATCTTCAATCCATGGTTCTTGATAACTTCACAGATGATCACGGGACCAGAATTTTAGTCAAGAAAATCCAAATACCCTTCACTTAGGCAATTGATCGAACACTTGGTGGGCATATGGTTTCATACACAAAACAATTAAAGATTTTGGTCAATAAATTACCCGAATCAAATACCCTTCTGCCCTACCTGTTACAACCAAGACAAATCCAACCAACAATTAAAAAAGATGAAGAAACAACATACGATTTTAGAAAGATGAAGAAAGAACAAACAATTTTAAAAAATCATTGCTTACCTGATGTTGCAGAAAGAACAAACGATTTTAGAAAAATCAGTCGATTTCATAGGGTGTTCCAGTCTTCGTTTTTATTCCAACCAACATCCCATGTTAGCCCGAAAGATATATCAGAACAGAACCAAATAATCATGAGTCAAAATTAGCTCAGCTCATTGAAATCGTCTTGAAAGTCAAAATAAACTCGTTGATAAAAAACGATGCAGATTGGAAGTCAAAATAAATGATCTAATGTCGATTTATATAAGTTCTTCGATTTTTTTATTTGAATACCATTAGCGATCTAATGTCGAAAGTCAAAATCAGACCAAAATAATTCAACATCATATGTTAGCCCGAAAGATATATCAGAACAGAACCAAATAATCGTGAGTCATAATTAGCTCAGTTCATTGAAATCGTCTTGAAAGTCAAAATAAGGTCGTTGATAAAAAAAGATGCAGATTGAAAGTCAAAATAAATGATCTGATGTCGATTTTTAATAAGTTCTTCGATTTTTTTTATTTGAATACCATTAGCGATCTAATGTCAAAAGTCAAAATCAGACCAAAATAATTGAACAAATTGATAGATAGAAGGAGAGATCGGAAGCTGTCGACGAACTCCAAACATATTGATAACAAACACTGAAAAGAATAATTGAACGAATTGACTAACCTTCGCAGAAGATGTCGACGAACCAGAAGTTGTCGCCGTCGATTGAAGGAGAGATTGGATGCTGTCGACGAACCGGAAGCAGTCAACGCGATGATCGGAAGAGAAGCTAAGGTCGACGAAAGTTGTTGCCGTTTCACTTCATTCGTTGAGTCGAGAGAGTGAATGCGATGTTTCTTTGACTGCACATAAGATTGAATGAGAAATTGGAACGAACCCTAGCAGCAGTTCTTATATTTTGACCATTTTTCCCTCAAAATGTTTTTAAATTACGTTGACCTGAGTTGACCGATTTGAGCGTCTAGCTCCGCCTAGGTCCGATTATCTCCGGCTTTGACCGACTTTGACCCGTCCGATTACACAAGCCGATTAGCTCTAAACCTCTTCAGTCGAGGTCCGCCTGGCGTCTAGGCGCCGATTAATCGGCCGCCTAGGCCGATTTTTACAACACTGCTCTTGGGCTAGCCTCTCCCGCTCTACTAAAGGAACATATCTTGAGCGGAACAAATCAGAGAATTACTCCCATTAAATTACAGCTCGCTTCTCTAGGGTGTATGAACTAGTAACAAACTCCCACCAATCCTTCACTCCGGACCGAAGAAGGTTCAAAGCCCACTTGACCTTCTGGTCAACTTGGCAAGAGCGTTGTAACAGCCCGAAAGTTTAGATAAAATTTTTCATTTAATATTTAGAAATTACAACCATATTTGTTTTACCAAAATTCCATTACATGTACTCATGTCCATAAGATCAGAGTATCCAAAACAAGAAATGATGAATACTGGAGAGTGCATGTTGCGTTATCAAGTCGGGCACTTTCCCATAGAACCAGAAGTACCTGAAACATCCAACAAATTGTAAGCAAACGCTTAGTGAGTTCCCAAAATACATAAAACATGCAATCATATAATGCCATGCAACATATAGATATACCTAGGATTTCCATGGACTCCCTCCATGGTCTTCACTTGGAATGCCATGGGCTCCCCCCGTGGTCTGGTAACCAAGTGCCATTGGCTCCCTCTATGGTCTTTACCTGGAATGTCATGGACTCCCTCCCTGGTCTGATAACCAGGTGCCATGGGCTCCCCCAATGGTCTTCACGTAGATCAGTACATGCCAACGAACAAACCATTGCATATCAAGGTTGTAGAAATTGCTCGACATAGGCTAATCGGTGGACCGGAGTAAAGGGATTAATCGGCTAGGCGAGGATTAATCGGAGGATTAATCGGGAACTATTAATTATTGCTAAAAATATTTAAAAAATGATATATATATATATATATATATATATATATATATATATAACATTAAACCTAAGAATATAACATTAAATATAACATTATAAATAAAAACAATATATTAAAATTTTAATAAATATAAAGTTATAACATAAAACTATGATTAAAAAACCCCCTTTGCTATAAGAAGTTCATTGACATGAGGTTGGGGACTTGAAGGAGGCTATGCTACAAGAAACCCTTTAAGCCTTTTACATAACTCACTACTTAAAACATCTGTTGTGGTGCTTGAGAGATCAATAGAGCTGCAAATAATGGAAAAAGATATTCAATTTCCGACATGCAAAACCAATCTGTGTTCTTGCTACATACACATACACACATAAAACCAAGAAACGAGGGATGAAGAACTAACTTGCAATCCAATCTATTTTTTACTACATATACATACAGCCAAATACCGCCACCTGCTCCATTCGTTTTTGCTCCAACCACCAAACATGTCCATTGACCACCTTCCTGTTTGCATCTGTTCTGCACCATCACACTCTCAGCTACTCCACCACTGTCGCACCATAAACAACCGAGAACTAGAACCAAACCACCTACATCTTGATTCCATGGTTCTTGATAACTTCACAGATGATCAAGGGACCAGAATTTTAGTCAAGAAAATCCAAATACCCTTCACTTAGGCAATTCATCGAACACCTGGTGGGCATATGGTTTCATACACAAAACAATTAACGATTTTGGTCAAGAAATTACCCGAATCAAATACCCTTCTGCCCTACCTGTTACAACCAAGACAAATCCAACCAACATTTAAAAAAGATGAAGAAACAACAAACGATTTTAGAAAGATGAAGAAAGAACAAACAATTTTAACAAATCATTGCTTACCTGATGTTGCAGAAAGAACAAACGATTTTAGAAAAAACAGTTGATTTCATAGGGTGTTCCATTCTTTGTTTCCATTCTAACCACATCACATGTTAGCCCGAAAGATATATCAGAACAGAACCAAATAATGGTGAGTCAAAATTAGCTCAGCTCATCTAAATCGGCTTGAAAGTCAAAATAAGCTCGTTGATAAAAAAAGATGCAGATTGAAAGTCAAAATAAACGATCTAATGTCGATTTATATAAGTTCTTCGATTTTTTTTTGAATACCATTAACGATCTAATGTCGAAAGTCAAAATCAGAACAAAATAATTGAGTAAATTGATTGATTGAAAAGGAGAGATCAGAAGCTCTTGACGAACACCACACAGATTGATAACAAACACTGAAAATAATAATTCAACGAATCGACTAACCTTTGCAGAAGATGTCGACGAACCAGAAGTTGTCGCCGTCGATTGATGGAGAGATTGGAAGCTGTCGACGAACCGGAAGCAGTCGACGCGATGATCGGAAGAGAAGATAAGGTCGACGAAAGTTGTTGCCGTTTCACATCATTCGTTGAGTCGAGAGAGTGAATGCGATGTTTCTTTGACTGCACATAAGATTGAATGAGAAATTGGAACCCTAGCAGCAGTTCTTATATTTTGACCATTTTTCCCTCAAAATGTTTTTAAATTACGTTGACCTGAGTTGACCGATTTGAGCGTCTAGCTCCGCCTAGGTCCGATTATCTCCGGCTTTGACCGACTTTGATCCGTCCGATTACACAAGCCGATTACCTCTAAACCTCTTCAGTCGAGGTCCGCCTGGCGTCTAGGCGCCGATTACTCGGCCGCCTAGGCCGATTTTTACAACACTGCTCTTGGGCTAGCCTCTCCCGCTTAACTAAAGGAGCATATCTCGTGCGGAAAAAATCAGAGAACTACTCCCATTAAACACTTAGTGAGTTCCCAAAATACACAAAACATGTAATCATATAATTCCATGCAACATATAGATATAGATAGGATTGCCATGGACTCCATCCATGGTCTTCACTTGGAATGACATAAGCTCCCCCCGTGGTCTGGTAACTAAGTGCCATGGGCTCCCTCTATGGTCTTTACCTGGAATGTCATGTACTCCCTCCCCTGGTATGATAACCAGGTGTCATGGGCTCCCGCCATGTTCTTCACATATATCAGTACATGCCAACTAACAAACCATTGCATATCAACAATTAATTCCACATATTAGATGACGGGCCGGCATTGGTGCCTTTGACCCATTGGTAGGATGAGAAGACTCACCTCAATCTGCTGAAAACAATAACTGCTCGACTACCAATCCAAAATCTCACACTTAACAAATATACAAATAACCCTTATTAGGATTAAGAGACAACCTAGACAAGGGCCCAACATCCTAAGTCCAAAACCCACCATGGTGGCCCAAAAGTATTTCCTTCACTAATAGGCCTAGCATCAATGTCCAAAACTATAATAGGCCACAAGGCCCAAAAGGCCTAATCATGCCAACATTAGCCCAAATGATAAATTTATGCCCACAACACTTGCAAGTATAGGCCCAAAACAATTAGGCCCCAAGGTTTGAAAATCTATCGGAGGCCCAAGACTCTCTGAGAGTACGCCCAGTGTACCTCTTCAGTACGCTTAGCGTACTGGGTTCATGGGCTGTACGCGCAGCGTAGAACATAGTACGCCCAGCGTACAAGTCGCGTTGCATCCAACTTCATTAAGTTCTTAGTGCATGAAGACTTTTCGCTCAAATTTCAGATCTTATACGTTTTAAGTATCTTATGGGATAAAGTTGGCAACTTTATGCCCTTGCATGCC